AAAGAGCTGCAAAAGACAGGGAGCATGCATGGCAAAACATAGCCGACAGAGTCAATGCGTGAGTGTTAATTTAAACATTGATCTAGGGATTTCCACCCATTTAACACGTTATTTTATCATATGTTATTTTATCATATGTTATTTTATTTTATATTTCATACATTTTATTTTGTGATGTGATGTGAGCGCAGGTGCAACCCAACAGGCCCCAAACGTTCCTGGCAGCAAGTAAAAATGAAATATAAAAATATAGTCCAAACAGGTGAGGTGTAATTGTATTATGAGCCATAGTGCTTGGTCTGTTTGTCCTATGTAAATCAATTGCAGTTAGAGGCTACATTAATTTTCTTTCTGTAAGCACTTACTCTGTATGCTCAAATGTGACCCGTTATAGCCAACAGAAAAAAAGCGGAGGCCCGAAAAACAGGTGGGGGTCCTCCACCACCACCACTCACAGAGGCTGAGCAGTTGGCCCTCAGCCAAAACAGTGGGCGCCCTGTGGCCTGAAGGCATCTCTGCGGGGACATCCTCTGAGTCAATAACCCCGCAAGACACAAGTGCCTACATAGGGGGTAAATTCAAAATAATACATGATGTGCATACATCCTTTCTTCACAGTCACCTTTGCAGTGCTCTCATTCATTTGATAAACTCTTTACCATAATGGATTATTTTGTAGTGAAGTCATTTTCCTACTGATTTTGCCTTCCCTCAGTCTTGGTTGTCTTTGAGAGCATAATGACAATGAAGTGTAAGGTGATTGGTATGTTTGTTAATTGCCATTTGGTCCCTTGTAAGTTATAAGTGACCTGTATAAACCTCATATTCTATCAGTTGATGGTGGTGGTGTACTGCATCTGGTGCAGCCTCCTGTTGAGCCAGACCAACATGCAGTTGTGAGTAATACTCCACAGATTATATGAGTTTACAGTAGAACAGCAATGTTGTTTATTTCTTTACTACAGGAAAATAATGAAGAAACATTGACAGCTGTTACAGAGGAGGAAGCAACAGAGACACTTTATGAGGTTTACATCTTTTAATACTTTGTGTACAGGAAATACAGGCGACCAATAAAGCCAGTTGAACAAAAATCTGTTTATTCTTCTTTCAACATGTTGAGGTGATGGGTCAAAAGAAATGATTGTGACATATGGTGTCTCTGACTGCGCTTCCATCTTGTATGTCCGTGGGAGGGTCAGGATGTTCATGGTTTGGATCACTGCTGATGTTTGGTTCAGAAGGACAGTGTTCTCCTCTAATTGTGGCAATGTTGTGAAGAATCACACATGCCACAATAATGTCACATGCCCTTTCTGGGGTGACCCTGAGTCCTTGCAGGCACTGGAACCGGGCCTTAAGCATTCCGATAGTCATTTCAATTCTGGCTCTTGTCCTGCAATTAGCCAGATTATATCGCTGCTGTGGGCCCGGTTCAGGGTCAGGGTAAGGGGTAAGCAAATAGGGTAAACATGGATACCCCCTATCACCAAGCAAGTAGCCAGTGAACTCTCCTAAGACAGAAGGATACACTTCAGTTCAAATGTCCCTGAAGCAATTGGTCTTTATATATTTTAAAGTATTCTCAACTCACCATGTCCAAATTTTGTGCTCAGTGTACATTCACGGAATATTTGTGAGTCATGGACAGAGCCTGGCCACTTGGCTTCCACATTTGTGATAATGTTGGCAGCATCAATATGATCTTCACAGTGCAGAGAACACAAATTAGCATCCATTACTATAATGAAATAATTTGTTAGTTTGAAATGCTACAGGGAACTATGTACCTGTACATTAATGCTGTGGAAAGACTTCCTGTTCACATAGTCTCCTTCATTTACTGAAGGAGCAATGATTGGAATGTGAGTGCCATCTGTACAGCCAATCACGCCTGGGAACCGTGAGAAATAAATGTAAAATTTAAGTAGTAGTTCAAGTATCACCACATCATGAATTAAGTTTGTTCATCCTGTACCTGCAATTTTGTGGCATCCCTCTTTGATAAATCTTGTGGGTCTATGACCGGGGAACACCACAAACGAGTACAGGAGACGTTTCAGTGCAACTGTAACATTCCTGACTGCCCGACAGACGGTAGCCTTGGAAACGTGCTCAGCGTCACCAATATTATACAGAAAGCTCCCGTTTGCAAAAAACCGAAGTGCAGATACAAATAATATGTAAGAACTGAGAGATGTCCGCGATGTCACATGGCGAATATTAGGCCTGAGGATGTTATCAAATAACTTATAGATTGTGCTGAGAAACGGTAACGTTCACACAGAAACTCATCAGGAAATGATAAAATGTCCAAACGCGATCTGATCACTCTCTCCCGGCGGAGAGCTCTGCGGAGAATTTGGGCTTCACGATCTACCGGCTCTTCACGGAAGGGACACGCCATGTCTGACACTTCCTACTGTCAGGTTTCCGACAAAGGGGCGGGGTCAGTCAGGGTTAGTTGTGGTAAACCTGCTAGGGGGCAGGTTAGCTTCACGGCGTGTGTCGTCATAGTGACTCACTCAGGCTGCAGCTGAACTCGCTTTGTGAAACCGAAAAACCAGCGTTTTCGTTAACTCAGGGTATACTTACTCAGTTTTTCCACTAAACCAGCTTCCTGAAACAGGGCCCAGGTCAAAGTTTCTCGTTGCAGTTTCACAGCAATGAGCCACAATCAGTCTGACCTGTTACTCATACGTTGTATAAGTGTTTCCAGAACAGCTCTGACACACTAATGTTCGGACTCTGTGGCGAAGGTTGACAGATAAATTGGGTTTTCTGTGGTTCTTGTTTGTTTTTTCTGAGAATTTGCAAATTAAGGATTATTTATGTTATGACGTGATAGGAATTTGGTTAGATCTCATCAGCAGGACTCCGTTCACTGTGTGCGTTATTCATGTCATACCTACACTGACTTATGTCTGTTAATGTGACAGCTTTGGGCCATTAAGGGTTTGACAGCGCAGGCAAATCTCTGACGCAGGAAGAACACCTCCATCATTTTCCTTTCATCTGCTAAATTTCCTTTCGTGTTAAAAGCTGCATAAAAATGACCACCTTTACATCTTTAAACTGACCAGGCTGAGGATTTATGCTCAGTAAACAATCAGGTCCAATTTCAAAACACCGGTTTACGACCTGCTGCACACGACCCCAGAACAGGAACGTCCCGGGAGGCCTTCACCGTCACTCAGACTCTCAGACCCTCAGGCCCGTGGTGTTGCGAAAACCAGACGCTGACTTGCCATAATTCATCCAAGACGATATCTCTTGATAAAGTGGTTTTAACCACATCACGTCTTATGTGGTTAAAAGACAAGTGCAAACATCTAACCCAAGCTAAGCTCACCAGGCTTCAAGCTGAAGTAGCTTGGTGTCTATAAACCTGAGCATTGATTCCTTTTAATTTCTCAAGATCAAAAACTGCAATGTAGCCTCAGATGAATGAGCCTATAAGGCCCTGTAGAGCAGGGGTGTCGAACTGCAGGCTTCGAGGGCCGGTGTCCTGCAGGTTTTAGATATCACCCTGGGTCAACACACCTGAATCTAATGATTAGTTCATTACCAGGCCTCTGGAGAACTTCAAGACATGTTGAAGAGGTAATTTAGCCATTCAAATAAGCTGTGCTGGATCAAGGACACATCGAAAACCTGCCCTCGAGGCCTGCAGTTCGACACCCCTGCTGTAGAGAGTCAGGTCCTGTTTAACTATTTGAACTGAGTGCATTTAAGCAGAAAAAGCACAAAAATCCTGGTGTTTCAGTGTTTTTCAGTCATAAATTTGTCCACATTCCCGATGGTGCTGCAGCATTTCGGATTTCTGCAGGGAAGAAGTCTGAGTTTGGCGAGAGTGATCAGATTCTAACAGACTGAATGTGGGTAGAAGTATGTTTGTTCAATTCAGTTCCATTTTATTTACACAGCGCCAAACCAAAACAACAGCTGCCTCAAGGGGCTTTATATTATAGGTAGACCCTACAATAATACATACAGAGAATAACCCAATAATCATATAACCCCTTCTGAGCAAGCACTTTGGCGACAGTGGGAAGGAAAAACTCCCTTTTAACAGGAAGAAACCTTGCCGCAGAACCAGGCTCAGAGAGGTGAGGTCATCTGCTGTGACCGGTTGGGGAGAGAAAAGGAAGACAGGACAAAAGACATCTCCCCACGGAGAGATGTGCAACCAAGAGGAAAACATATAAAAACAAAAACCAACACACACAGAGACTCTGCAGGTTCATGTGGAGGACAGAGAAGTTTGTTTTTAAGGTCTTTGCACACATGTGAATCCCACTTTCCATTGCAATATCTTTCAAAACCGTTATTTTAACTGCTTTTCTGTCTGGTAATCACTTTGTGTTCCAGTGGGGAGGAATCTAAAGAAGAGCCAGTTAAAATGTGGGACAGGAAGCAGCGAATAAGGACACCGTTCTGGTCACTTCTAAGCAGCAGACTGAACCACGCCAGGAAGCCGTTTCTCTAAAAATATGTTCACTGATGCTAAAAACATCATCATAAACAAAAGTGCAATCAACTGCTAGGGGTTACATATTTATAGAGAGGAGATGGAGTTTTTTTTTTTTTTTTGTTACTTTCTCTGGCAGCAGCATCTAGTGGCCATTATAGGAACTGCGTCTGTGAAGGTTCTCAGTCATCCAGGTCATCGTAGTCTAAGGAGCTTGGAAAGAAACTGGACTTCTTTAAGTTGCTTGAAACAAGCAACTTAAAGGAGTAGACTGGCGGCTTTGTTTTTAGGGGTTTTCCAGTCTTACTGACCACTCAAGCCACGTTACATTTTCCACGCATACTCATCCAGAACTGTTTTTTGCACTTCAGTTGTATTCACACCTTCGATCAATTTAGAATCACCAGTTAACATGTTTGTATTTGGACTGTGGGAGGAAGCCAGAGCACCCACACAGAAAGAGCCCAGCCGACCAGGAGGTCCAAGCCAGGAAGCCTCCCATCAGATTAAAGCTGTGCTTGAAACATCTGACCCAAGGATGCTGCACTCAGACTGAGGGCTGTATCAAGGTTAGAGCAGGGGTGGGCAATCTCAGTCCACGAGGGCCGGTGTCCCTGCAGGTTTTAGATGTGTCCTCGAACCAACACAGCTGATTTAAATGGCTAAATTAGCTCCTCAACATGTCCTGAAGTTCTCCAGAGGCCTGGTAACGAACTAATCATGTGATTCAGGTGTGTTCCCCAAGGTGAGATCTAAAACCTGCAGGGACACCGGCCCTCGTGGACTGAGATTGCCCACCCCTGGTTTAGAGCTAAGATTGCACTCCCTAACAAAAGAGCACAGACTTTTTGGATGGCCTGTTAGTACAGCCAACAACACAGTAGATAATCAGGGGCTCCAGTTAGCTGAGGTGGACAGCCTGTCAATCAGGAGAAACACACCTTTTATTAAAAGAAACATGAAAACACAGAAACTATCCTCAGAGATAAAATGGTTTCTGTATCCGCTGTAAACATGTTGGACATTTATCTGTGAGCACTGACTCACAGCTGTAGCTGCAGGGTACACCGAGAGGATCTGCAGTTTTAGGTTTTTTTGCATGTTGGCTTAAATTTTTCAGCCCCTGATGTTGCTGCAAACACAGTTTGATTTTGCACGTAGGCCTTGTTCCTGTGTACGTTTTTCAAAATAAAAGCAGTCCCTTAACTCTGGGACGCCATTGACAAGAACTGATGGAACTTAGCAGTGAAAATTAATAAATAAATAGTGAAGTAACACAGGAACTCACATGCTGCATGTCCACGCAATGTAAAATATTGCTGTTGCATTATAATATGATAATAATAATTACAGACTTTTGCTAAACAGTGGTAGGTCTGCCTGAGGTCAACAACAGGCCAACATCAACCTGCTTTGGGTGCAAATACAACAAATTACTCTTATTTCTAGTTTACTTTTGTAAACTGTTAATGTGAAACTAAACGTAAGTTCAGTGTATGTGTGTGTGTGTGTGTGGTTGCTGTTAACCCACTGCGAGCTTCCTTTGCAGCAAGAAACAACACACAACTTCATGGAAATGCCACAATGAGTTTCAGTGTTATATGCTAATGAGCTCTGTGTGTATGTGTGTGTGTGTATAATGGGACTTAGATGATGTGTTTTTTTAATCTCTTTTCAACAGTCAGCATTTTCAGTGAAACCGTGAAACATCCTGAGACAAATTAAAAACAAAGTGGGAAGAAGCCTGAATCATCTTTTTATTTCACGTTCTCACGGAATAAAATGCACGAGCTTTGGCCTCAAAGGGCAGATAGGCTTCCTCTTTTTTACCCCATTAAAATAATCGCCTCCACTCTAACGTGATGCATGCAAATGACGTTTTCATTCTGTATGAAATGCACTAAAAACAAGTTTGACTTAAAAGCTCAGTTGGGCCATCTGTGTCTGTCTTCATGTTAATGGTAATAATTTTAACAGCAACAAAACAAAAATAGAATTTCTATTTCCACATTATTGTGTGGATAAAGATTAAACACATGACAGCCATGGGAGAATAAAATGTGCATCAAGTAGTTTGTTGATGTTGGGACTGCGTGCAGGGCGAGATGAAACGCTCCATGAAACATGCCTCTGGGTTTTAAATTAAGGCCCCCCATCTGTAAAATCACTGGGTAATCTTACTTTTAGAAGGAACCTGCTGCATCCACCAGGTAACTGCCTGCCTGTCTAGCTTGAAGGTTATGGTTGTGGTTTAGTTATTGTCTACCTC